TTGTTCAAATCAAAATTCTTACTGATAAGAAGCAGAAGATGCATTCAAAATGCTGAACTGAACAGAACCTCTTATCAGGTTAGCTGTGCAGCATCAGTTACCATGGTGATCTAGCCAGGTCAAGAGAGTGATCTTTGTGACAGTGAAAACTCTTTAGGCTAAGCATACGCTAGCTCATTAATCTAGCTTGTAGTGCACTCCTCAGAAATGAATATATGGACCTAACCTGTCTTGTGTCACAGTCCTGGCTGCTGACATGGTGGAATGGATGGATGGATGGATGGATGGATGGATGGATGCTTTCTCTAAAACTTTTAACACCTTAATACCAGTCAGCCATCATCACCACAAATTATATAGATGATGTTGCTAACCATGTGCACCCTCACCCATGGTCGGATGTATCCTGTTTGCTTTAATAATGGTTAAGATGTGTTGAGAACCTGACTTTTATCCACCTGTGGCAAACTGAAGGGTTGGACATAGTTTCTTATATACACCTGTGTATATAGGATCCCACAATTCACATTGTCAGAACAAAAACCATGAAGTCAAATGTACTAACTGTAGACCCACACAATAATCTTATGGTGGGACATGGTCGTGTCAAGACTGTAAAACCCACCTGTCATGGTCCCATTACCAAGGTGGTTGCCAGATGCTATATTGTGGAAGTTTGTTTTAATAAGACTGTTATAATGTGTAATTAATGTGCCAAAGTCACGTCCACTCTTTTGATAGGATGCTGGGTTTCCCAGCAGAACACTACAAGATGATCAGTCGCACTCATTTCACCTGTTAGTGGTTTTAATGTTGTGGCAAGTCACTGTATGTAATAATTTTTTATTTTGGATATTTTTTTAATCCAATAATAATATGTTTGTTGAAAGTTAAAATGGGCATTGTTGTAATTTCCAGTTTAACCGTATGGTGGCAGTAATGTCTCACTACTCCATTAAATAAACTCAGACACAATGATACACAAGTGTGTCTGTTTACTGTCACAGTAACATGATGGAGCTTTTCAATGAAAAAGCCATTTGCAGCAAATATGAGATGAAATCGAATCAAAAGGAGGATTTTCAACATCAGAGGGATGACTTCGGTCCCAGGGCAGGGGCTCCATTTGCATTTCTGCGCAATAGGGCCAGGAGTTTTTCAATGGCTGAAGACACACACATAGGTAAATTAAAAGTCTAACCTACTCACAGTGAGGTTGCTACGCTGTGGGTGGCATTTTGCTGACATGGTTTCCGTCCACTTCTACCCTTTGAGGGAAGAGTCACTGCAGATCAATACAAAGTTATTCTGAGTGGCCAAGGAGCGTGGAAGCTGTGGTGGTGAAGCACCTCACTAAGACACTTTGCGATGTTTTTTTTTTTTTTTTCTGAAGTTGTTCACTTACCTGCATGTGGAGTAACTGGTCCATATTTTAGGCTTTGCAATGTCTTTAAATACTTGTGAACATTACACTGAGGACATATTTCATATTTTTAAGTAGCTGACCGTCGTGCCAAAACAGCTTTGGACATAGAAACAACATATACAACAGTTTCATAAGCAAACATTCACCTTTATTTTCCACTTATGTTATTTGTCTCCTTTGACATATAAAAATAAACATTACACTAAAGAGCAATATAAAAGCACATAAAATCGAAAACACAGATGTCTATATCAGTCACTGAGACATATGTAATTTTAGCAGATTGACAGTGAAAACAGATGCAGCAGATCTGTCACGCTGACCAGGTGCAGTTCACTATCCGACCAGAGACTGAGTCAGAGACTCTTTCGTCAAAGGTTTTCATTTTCACACCTTTGTCACTGTGAGCAGAGCTACCCGTCTGTCCTAAGAAGCTCAAATGCTGTCATTTCAAAAATGATCCTCTTTGCACATTCTATACCCATCCCAAGCACACATAACCTCACAAACTTGCTGACCTTCCATACTTAACCTTAACATGTTTAAAGTGTATTTAAATATTTAAAGATATTTAATGTTTTATTTTTTTTTTTCAAAAATCTAAATCCAGAGATGTGAACCAGAGCTGACATTTGCATTAAATAGTCATAAATGTATTGAAACATTAAAATGAAAATCATCTATATTGAATCTCATTCATAAGACATGACAGGGAGAGGTCTTCATGTCCTCGTAAGCAATAATGGGCTCTGAGTGAGGTCCTGAGATGTGCATTCCTAAGACAAGTGAGGACCGTGCAGTTAAAGACACACAAGGCATTCATTGCATGTGTGAGGAACATGCTTTTCTCCTAATGCTTGAATCTTGGGGGGAAAAAATAAGTAAATTTTGAAATGATTTTATTACAGCATATATTCACATTAATTGTGAGGATCATGGTACTACTGGTACTCTTCTACCAGTACTGTTCTCTCTTGTCTATGCATGTTGTTGAGTGGGTGTGATTTAGAGTTGAGGGCAAGCAGCTACAAGTGCCAGTCATTTGCTGTACACGGAAATATGGCCTGGGTGACTGAAAGGGCTGTTTCAAGTCCACTTAGATTTCTAAACACATAAGGGCTTACAAGATGCTTTTTTTTAAAAGAGAAATGTTCATGTAGCACCTCTCCTGGTGGAGAGTTCTGGTGTTGACCACATTGCTGCTACAGTCTGAGGGATTTGGAGCTCGCTGTAGATCCTAATGCAGTTCCATTAGTTGCCCAACTTATCTCATTTGGAATTTCAATAAAATGCTTCACTCAAGGCTGGTGACAGTTTTAATTTCTTTGTACACATTTACTGAGAAAGTTGTGCAACAGTTCTGTGACGTGGATGAAACTGTAGGATCGTAAAAGCAAGAGAAACACATTGTAGCAGAGCTCATGGAGGTTTTTACAGCTGAAATGTCACGAGCTGTAATTTGTAAAGGCTTTCGTGTGTCGTTGTCCTCTAATACTGAATCAAAGTACATTTTTGTGACTTTTATAAACTGTGCCTTGACTGCTAACGTAAAAAAATATAGATTTTTCTACGGAACGATCCAAATAAATTACAATTAAAAAGTTTTGATAGGGCCTGACTTGGGTAGTAGTGAGTTGTACTCCTGTTGTAAATCTGTTACATGGACTAATGTTCATGCATTACACTGTGATTATATACATTCATGTTCAGCAGGCTGGGCTGTCTCATTCTACCAAAGCCTCACCCCATGACCTTGTCTACAGCATCACCAGCAGGTGATTTAGTCTCACGGTTTTCTCCACAGATAATATTAACAAACCACAGTGCAGAGTGCATGTGGCTCCAACTGTGATCGTTGGTCACAGGTCAGCACATCAGAGACCCCCTTTGACACTGAACTGACAGCAAGTGTGTCAATGTGTTTACACAGTATTTTATGGTTCAACAGTAGCCATCGCCTGATTTTTATTAGAATGTAAATTTTGAAGCACAGTGGGCATCTTTGTGACTGCAGCCAATTCGCTGAGTCGGGATGCTGCTATAAGTCACCGCTCACTTCAGTCAGCCTTGTCCTTCTTTCCACCATGTATGTGTTACCATCTTTTCCACCACTGGAAACAACAACCTCCAGGCAGTCAGACAGCCGTGCTAGCTTTTTGCAGTGAATTATACATTTCGAACACAGTGCTTGTTTCTCTGCATGCACATTTTCCACCAAAATAAAAAAAAAAAATCCACCTTTCACTATTTTGAGGGAACACCAAAGCAGCATCCTTTGCTTTGCTCCACCTACGACGACTGTCATCAGTTTAAAGAAATACAAACAAATAAGAGGCTTTTATTTCCCTAACCCTGTAGAAGAATGAGAGTGAGGCACAGCCAGGTCATTATGTTCTGCAGAGTGGACTAGCAAAGCAAGACTAGTGCCCTATTGACTAATCTTCATCTGTATAGTATGATGAGGGACAGATAGGTAAGCAGCCAATAATGCTTGGAAACCCAACTAAAGTAATGTTTTCAATACAGATGGTCTTCGTCAGGTAAAAGTGAAAATGAAAACACTTGTATTTGATAAATAATTCACGATAGAGCACCTCATCTCCTATTGAGCCATTTGTGATTTGACATTTTTTTCAAGACTTACTTTCCATTTATTTATTTTAGCAAATGACAAAAACAGACATCGCTCCTGTAGCACCTTGTCCTGTTACTCATACGGAAGGAAAGTCTTTCAGCTGCGCTGTAACGTCACAATCAGGAACATCCAGTGATGTTGAAAAACTAGTCCATGCATTTGTTACTTCTGGGCTGGACGACTGTAATTCCCTGTTATCCCCCAATAAGTCTGTTAACAACCTCCAGCTGATCCACATCCCATATTAGCTTCTCTTCATTGGTTCCCTGTAAAATCTAGGATAGAGTTTAAAATCCTGCTTCTTACATGTAAAACTCTCACTGACCAGGCCCATCTTATGTTAAAGACCTTATTGTATCATCCTAACAGAGCTCTTTGCTCCCAGAGCTTCCAGAAGTAGAATGAGAGGCAGAGCCTTCAGTTATCAGCTCCTCTGTTGTGGAATCAGCTCCTAGTTTGGCTTCTGGAGGCAGACACCCTCTCTTTTTTTAAGATGAGGCTCATAACGTTCCTCTTTGATAACGCTTACAGTTACAGCTGCTCACCTGTGTTGTGTTGCTACAGGTTTTATGCTGCTTGGGGACTTCCCATTTTAAACTGAGCTCCCTCTCCTCTTTCTTTCTCTCTTCAATACAGTTACACATCATAATTGCCTGTCACTAACTTTGTGTATTCTCTCTCCCCAAGTTTGTGTTGTTTCCTCTCTGCGGGTATCTCTGGATCCGGAACACAGGCCTATTTTCATTACAATTAAAGAATGATTTTATATTCTGGAAAAGACATTTAATCCCCCACTGAGCACAAATACAGGTGTGTGTTCACGTCTTTACCTGAGGGGGACCTTTGTGGTTGGGTTGATGTCAATCATATCCACATCAAAAAACAGATGTGAAGAAAAGACAGTCGTGTCGGTTACTAGACACAAAAGCTTTTTTTCCCCCCCAATAGCTGCTTTCATTACTCTGAATCATTGTTATTTGAATGAGTTGAATGAATACTTCTTTTTATAAAGTACTTTTTTCTTGAATGGAGTTTATAACTGCTCTACATAGCTGTAGTGCAGCCAACTGATTGAAGCAATCAAACAGTTATTAAGATGGAGACCACCTCGTTAGTCAGTTGTAGGACCAACTTTTTGAGGAACCGTGGACAGCGAGTTAGCACTTCTGTTGTATTCTGAAATCCTGTATTTGTAGCTAACATAAAGGTCTTCCTTTAGCAAACACTGCACAGCCCTGAATCCACACTACATCCACACACAATCAATAAACATCAGCACACAACTCAACATATGCAAGCCACAATAATAGATAAATACACCCTGCACATGTCTGGATTGATCATGTCAACGCATTACAAAAGCTTGCAGGAAAATAACACACGGCAAGGCAAACATGGATTACCCAATCTTTAACCAATCTAAGGCCTTTTTTTCCCTATTCCTTCACAACACAGAAATACAGGTCAGAACTTCCATACCTGACAATAGCACCGCTAATAAGCAAATCCATGAAAAGTTTAAGAAATACAGTGCTTATGGATTTTTACGGCTAGAAGACAAGTGAGGGAGGTTGGGCTGCACCTGGATGTCAAAGACAAAGCTTCTAGAAAGCTCACATGACATCTGGGCTACAGTTGGACAGAAAGATGGGAAACTATGAGGTCAGCTGGAAGAATGTTTCATGGTGTGAGAAGACTGAAACTGAGAGGCTAAATACCACGTCTGCTGTAAGCCAAACAATGCATATCATAAAAATAGAACTTCCAGCACGAAGCAACCCAAGGGGAAGCAACCCCAGGGGATGTCTCTGTGCAGCAGGTGATGTGAATGCATCAAAAGACAAAGAAATCCTGGAGGAAAACCTGATGCAAGATACCTGCCACGTGGGAGAAGATTTGTTTTTTTAACCAGACAATACGCTCAAGCATGTAGTCGAAGCCACGCCAGAATAGCTTAAAAGCAACCATACCAAAGTCCTGGCTGAATCAAAGACCCAGTCTCAGTCCAGTCTGTGGCTGGACTGTCTCCATACAACCTGACAGAGCATGAGCAGCTTTACAGGAGAACAGCAAAAAAAAAAAAACAGTAGTCGCCAGATACATGAAGCACAACATGCCGAGATCTATCCACACACACTCAAGGCTGGAACTGATAGCAAAGGTGCACCCAACAAACACTGACTGGGAGGGGACCAACATAACCAGTGCCTAGATGACACTGGTAAGATCTGTTTAACTTTATATTTTAAATGATCTTTTTTCATCGATCAGTGTCAAAAAGCCACAATAAATCTACTTTGACTCAATCATGTAAACATGGACATATTTCAAAAGCACTCAGATAAGAATGAACATTCATCCAAAGAGGACACAGGGGTGAATAAGATCAGACATGAAGTTATGGATATGGCCACAGTGTAAAAAAAAAAATAAAATCTAATATTAAAATCTCCATAATATAATTAGAAACTTTCAAATTTGTAACCTATTTTTGAAAATAGACCCTTGTGATTTTTTGTTTAATTTGTAAATCATGCAAAGCATGACTTTAGCAGCAAAAACAGGCGCAAATACAGATGAAGCACATATGCTTGTCTCAGTGTATATGAAGTTGTGTGTGAAATTTTTAAAAGTAAAAGATGTTGCTTTGCAGTTCTGAAAGATAACTCATGATAGCTACCTTTGAATTCCCCTTCTTATGCTCATACAGAACCAAATCATCTCTCATTTACAGACTACTAAAAGGCACATGTCCTCCTCTGTACTCGTCCTCAATTCCTCCTACCGTCTACCGTAGCTCTGTTCCAGCCACTGCCGCACATCCTTAAGATTGTAAAAAAATGGCCCCTTGCCACCCAGGTAGGCAATCTTTTTTTGTTGTACTATACACACCCGTTCATTGGACACACCATAAGCCACATTAGCATTGTTGTCCATGCAGTCGGCCACGAGCTGACACTGTGGCGGCAGAGAAAAGTGCTCAATCAGTTTGCGCGCCGCTCCCATCCTCTCCTCCAGGTTCTGGTGTTTCCGGAAACTGAAAGAGCAAGAACCCATAGGAGGAGCCACCCAGCCGTCAGACGGGTGAGCCTCATCAATGTACACTAGCACGAAATCAGCCACATCACTGAAGTCCTCCACCAACTGCCGGAAAGCTGGCAGGTGGCTGATGAATGGGGGTCAGGTGGCGGAGCCAAAGTTGACCACCAGAGGGCGGTCTGATGACTCCAAATCCAGAAGGCGGCACTCATCCCCATTTTGGATCTTGGCACCACACGGGACATTAGTCATGTTACTGATAGTGCTGCTCCATCGAGGGCCATCAGGTACCTTCACCACCTTAGAGTTGGGCGCCTCACAGCCAAGTTTGACCTAATGAGAAAAAAAAGACATAGATTGACATTTATTCACACAATGCACACGTTGAGGAAACAGACAAGAAGTAGAAGTGCTTTTTGTGCTTCTTCTAAAACTATGCATGATGTCCCTGCTGGAAGACAACACATCTTTAATTTATTTACAAATGCTTATATCAATAATATGCTCATTTACAATTTGAGTGACATGTTTAAAAAAAGGTCATAAGTGTGTTGACAATACACATTTATTCCAGCATGATGTGACAACATTCCAAAGAGCTTCTTATCATTCCAGGAAGACTTTGTCAGCCTTCAGGTGACACATAAATGTTTATTGTAGATGTAAATCAGTCAGGTGACTGTGGAGGAAAAGTCCATGACAGTCAGAACTCCTTGGTCTTCTTCCTACAGGTCAAAGCTTTGAGGTGTGTTTGGTCTCATCATACTGCTACAATATGAATCCTTCTCCACAAAGACATGAACCGGATAGACAGTAACATTACATTAACGGGACTATATATATGCCTTTATACATTTCTATTTGGAGCTGCAGTGTGTGATTCCACAGATGCTGCAGGTCACTAAATAAGATTGCTTCATCTGTTCATTCGTCTTCCTTTCATATTAGTTTTATTCACTGGCAAAAACAAGTAAAATATTTGGTTTCAGTTATTGTCTTAACATTTAAATTTGTATGTAGTTGTAAAAAAAAATGTAATTTACAAATATTTTGTCATAGTTTTCTTTGACAACATTAACGCTGCTACAAAAAAAATGATTTGGGGAAAATATTAAATTGCGATTTTTCTGACAGATATTTTACAGGACAGATCGTTTTAAAGGTGACTTCTGCTGCATATTTACTGTGTGACAGATTTAAAATGTGACGGAGCATTACAACATGAGGCACCGTCAAAAGCCAGACCGGCACACAAGAAGGACGACGTGTAGAAGTACTGTCAGGACTAAGTTATTAACACTGGGTCAAGCATGTAGCCTTATATATGAAACCGCAACCTTTGCAATTTGTTAAATGCATTGATTCAAATTGCGATTTCCATTTGAAATTGATTAATAATTCAGCACAACAGCCTTGAATATTCTCAGCAGCATGTTAAACTGATTTTGATTCACTGTGGTACCTTTCTCTTGGGCTTCTTACATACACCCTTCTGTTCACTTATCTCATCACAGTTATCATTGTCCACTGTAAAATGCTGTCTTAGCCCTTCCTAAGTGTTCAGCCGTGTTTCCCCTCTCTCCTCTGTGGACGTAGTTGAAACCTTTTAACCAAAATATGTTTCCAAAGAGTAGCCACTGCTTCCCTTGATGCTTTGCAAACTGTTCATCACCTGGATTGGTTTTCAGTGAACAGGTGTCATTTTAATTTCTTGTTTTCTAAATGCGTTTGAAGTCATTTTTTTGTGTCGGTAGTGTTGGAATACAGCAAACAGTCCTATTCAACTAAAGTAGTTATCCATATTATGGCAAGAACCGCCTCCCTCAGTGAAAGGAACCAACCGTTCATCATTGCTTTAAGAAGGTGAGTCACATTGATAAAGTTTAACAACTTTGAAAGTTTTGTCAAATAAAACTGCCAAACCTATTAAACTCTGAGGTGAAACTGTCCATTCCAGGAGAGGAAAACCAAGAGTTCTCTGTGCTGCAGCGGAGAAGCTCATTAGCAGCCTCAGAAATCAACAGTTAACAGCAGATCGGATTAGAGTCCACATCAGTGCTGTCAGAGTTCAAGTAGCGAACACATCTCAACAACAACTGTTGGGAGGAGACTGAATGAATCAGGCCTTCATGGTGGAGCTGCTGCAAAGAAATCACTACTCAGGGTGTCCAAGAAGAAGAAGAAGAGAACTACTTAGACCAAGAAGCACAAGGAATGGACCAGAATCAGGAATCAGATCAGTGGAAATCTGGACCTTACTCAGATGATGGAATCTAATCGCCAAAGATTCCTCACATATTTCTTCAGGTTTTCCTTTCTCTGTACACCACAAGTCATTTAAATTCTTCTCTCTGAAGTCTCTTGTTGAGAACAGTAATTCTTTGAATAAAAAAAAGAAACCGGCAGTCAGAAGAGTTTTGCTTCGTTTTCATCATGTTTTACATTTTAGAGAAAAAATTTTAAAAAAATAAAACTATGAAATAATAGATCTTTTGGAAATAATAAAACTGGAATATGTAATATTTCAGATTTGTCACTGCCTGGGCAAAAACAGCCAAATGTTATGTTTCTGTGAGCTTCAAAGGAGGTGAATGAATGATGTCTGCATGTGTGGTTCCCACCATGAGGCACAGAGCAGGCCACGGTGTTTTGCCCTTCGCTGCTCAGACTGTTAGAGGTTTATTCAGAATTTAAGGCAACACTTAAGCAGAACAGGTATGTAGTTACTGTAGACGGAGGGCTCAAGGGCAGGTTTTAGATTAGAGGTTTGGATACAGGCAGTCTTGAACTGTACAGCAACACAGTCAATGGAAAGCTACGTGTACTATTTGTTGTACTACGACTACTACTACTCCTCTTAATGGTCTAAGTTTGATTGTGCCAGGTATAGTAGCGTATTTGTGTGACTGATGGGAGCCACACAGTGAATGAGTAATAGCCTTAGTGGTCCTAATGGGTAGGTACAGTTACTGGAAATTCATCACACAAGTGACTATTCGCAAACACTTGAAGTGTAGGTAAGGAGGAGTGACGATAAGGATGGAATAAAACCTAACAAATCACCAGCTTGGACTGCAGTAAAATAATGTTGGTGCAGTCATCACAGGTAAGCTATCCAGATTGTATTATCGCTGCTCTGTGGCCTGTTTTAGGGTTAAAGGAGGTCAGAAATCTCATGAACCAATGACAATTAAAATGTTAATCAATAAGTCGTGACCTTAAAAGTGACAGAAAGGTAAAACAAACATCCTCCAAGCACAAACTGTACACTCCAGATAATCTTAAAGGGGGATCTGATAGGAAAAATAAACACCCGGGTGCACCCTGGGTGTGTAAGGGCTCTAATGGTCATTAAGACTAAAAAAAGAAACATATGGTTTTCCTTTTCCATAAACAAAAATTTGTTCCATAGGAATACAATTTAATCTTAATTGTGAAATTAGTTTTAAGTTATGATTTCAATCCTGAAAGCAGATGTAAGACTCAGTAGGACAAAAAGATGTGGAAATCGGTGTTAACGCAATAATAAAGTGAGCAAACAGATTGGTAAATCATGATAGACAAACTGCCCTCGGATTCAACTTCATGACCTCAGTGTTGTCTGATATTAAGTCGGGAGAACACCAAGTACTGGACTGTTTGATAAATTATCAACATGGACAGCCTGGATGTTCTTTACCTTTGCTTTTTTGGGTTTTTTTTTTTGTCTGACAATGTTTAATCATAAAATAAAAAAATGATCTGCAGCTCAGCATCTTGGTTAAAGAGTGCTGGTCAGGACAGTAATCTTCAGTTTTGTACCGGTTAAGTTGTGCGACAATAGAAACGGATATTACAGACATGAGAACGGTGTAATGTGTACTATGCACACAGTATTGGTGATAAGAGGGATCAAGTGGGGCCTGAACATGGTTTAGCAGGTTGTGCCTCCAGGAACATCAAAGGGAGGAGAACAGGGGAACATAGCTGGTCCCCATCATCGGTTGGGGACAGGAACTAACATCTTTTTTGTGTGTGTGATGTTGGAAATTCACACAAGTTAACTGTAAAAATATTTTTCAAATGATGGAAGACAAGAAATAACTCTTTTCTACAGTGTTGTGATAAGTTTGACTGATACAGCATTCTGTTTTCTACATTTGATAACTCAGAATTAATAACTATTCAGCTTAACTCCTTCATGGATTGACTGAAAGGTACACACAAGCCTGGACCTTGAGAGTCCAGGTGGGACAAAGGGGGACAAGGCTGAGGTCCCCCAGTCAGACTGCATACCTATGGGCCAAGCTTGTGCCATGCCACAGCTTCCCCCCTTCTTCTACCTCCTTCACACTAACTACAAACATGAAAAACAAGTTGTGCTGTCGGCTACCTGTATGAGGACAACAATCAAACCAGACTTTGATGAAGGTGTGGCCCGAAGGCACTGCAGGTTAGACAGGTGGGGACACAAAGCTGGAAGCAACAGTTTGGAGTTCAGCAGATCAGCCATTAAATGAAAGCGGGTTAACCGTAGAAAGTTAGCCAACTAGAGTTTCTACAACAGCAACTTTACCTGCTTGTATGCGTCCAGGAGGAAGCTGTTCCAGATGGAGCGGAGCCCCTCCGAGGTCAGCATGCGGCGCCACTCTCCGCAGCCAGCGGACCTGGAGCAGCTGAGCAGCGACACGGCGCGCTTCAGCAGCACCACGGAGTCGTACAGGGCGAGAAACAGACAGTTGGAGAAGAACCCGGGCAGTATCTGGAGTGTCACCAGCAGATCCTCGCTCGCCATTCCCATGTTGTCTTTCTGCGAATATACGACGAGTTACTAAAGAGCGTTCATTACGCTCAGCGCGGCGCCACAGGTCTTATTTGCTCTCCTCATACTGTTTGATCTGCGCCATGGACTGCGCCAGACTGTGCGCAGAGAAGGAGTCAAATGTAGGAAGTATAAGTTGTAAGGCGGCCTTATCTGCTCTGCTCTCCTTTAGTTCGGCGGTGTGCGCACCGACGACAGTCCTGTGGCGCACTATGACTCTTTTTAAAAGGATGGACATTGTAGTTAATATTAAGCCTCCCGGCTTATCTCTGCAGCAAGATTGTGACGTCAGCTGCAGGCCCGGTGCAGACCTTGTGTCTCCTCCTTTCTCCTTCCTCTCCTCCCTCACTTGTGCACCGACACCGAGCTGAGCGCTTTCCTCTCTCTCTGTGGTCTGAAAACAAATGTGCAGGACTGAAAATGAATATATGAAAACATCCAGCAACACAACCCATCCATTTAGACTTTCATATACTATGAGCCTGTTTTAATCATCACTGTAGGTCACATATTTGTTGACCATATAAATTGTAGTAAGATGTAGTGTGTGACTTTTATGAAAAGTATTATTCACTTTGATCCTGGTCACAACAAAGTGTTCATTCTTCTGTGGTGTTAGTGGTTTAAATAAACTAAAGCCAGAACCCAAATGACTACATTAATGACCTACATATAAATAAATATAATATTAATAATAACAATAATGTGCTGCATAACAGAGTATACAACAGAAGTAGTTCTCATCTGTTTAATATTGCTTAACTTTTCAAACTTGTATTTCCTTACAGTAATCAGATTACTTCCAAGCTGAACATTAGGGGATTTGGTCTCGTGTAAAATTAAAAACTAGCAGTGTAGATGAACTATATTATCATTATCATATCAGTTTTCTGGACTCAGACATGTTGAACCAGGTCATGGTTTCCACTTTTAGAAACTCTTGTAAGATTTTGACAGTGTGCTTTGGACCATTATCCTACCAGAAAATCCTTCTTCTGCCAAGACTCTGCAGCCTGGGAGTCATCTCATCAGTAGTGTTTTACTGTATCCACAGACATTCATACACGTCTGTCATCACAGTCTTGTCTTCATTCTTCTCTGTCAGGACTGGACATTCCCTGCGGTCATCCTGGACAAATTTATCTGGGCAGAGAATTCACTCCCAATATTTATCAGGCTTCTTGTAATTTTAGATTTTTTATTTTATTTTGATAAATGAAGCTTAATTTTGCCGTTTTGTGCCAACCAGTGAGGGAGGGTGTTTTTCTTGAACACCGTACAGGAGGTGACTTTATCAACTGTCCTCCACACTGTCTGAGCTGCCAGAGAAACCCCCATGCCAAGTCTGAAGCATGCGCCCATCTTGTTTTTCTGAGATTGTGCAAGTAGTGCACAGTCCACGGTGTTCTGATTTTACGAGGATCGCCACCGACGCTCTGATTATTGGTGCTACTGCTTGTCCTTTACCTCCTGACTGCTGCTTAAACCGGTCATCAGTCCTCCTGTATTTGTTTCCATGTTTGTGAAGTCTCACAGTGAATTTTTAATCCCTCTGGGAATTCTTTTCCATATGAACCTATGATGCATAAATACAGATATAGACACAGTTCATAAGGTCCATGACTGAAGTTCTGGTGTTCAGATCATGTTCATGCAGTGAGGCGGACTGAGACTCACAATCGGTTTCAGTGATCACAGGTGCATTGAGGCCTTTCTGAAGTATTTGTTTAAGATTGTGCATGAAAGGAAATAACCTACTTTTCAACTTAGAAATAATGCAGTTATTAAAGAGGTGATATGATTTTTGAATGATTGAACATTTAAGTTATATTAAACAGTGGTGCACTCACTTCTGCTGCATATAGCACTAAAACAACAATAACAAAAATACATTTATTAACTGGCTTCTTAAAGCAACAGTACTGACAATATTACCTTCATGATTACAACAATCTGTGTCATGGTGCTGTGTCTTGATTGAGATTTAGGAAAAGATTGAAATCGTGGTTAAATATTTTAACAATCAGTGCTTAAATGAAGCAGAATGCATAAACACTTAAGTCATTTCCTAAAAAGTATTATCCTTCCCAGATTATTAATGAAACCACGATGTACACAAGTTTACACAGCCAACGTTAGTGTTCCAGTCTTATTCTGGTTATAATCAAATCTGACGTAAGTGGTTATTTCTATTTGCAAAGCCAACAAAGAATATGAGATTTGGTAAATCACAAATGGTAATTTCTGATTTTTTATTTTTTATTTTTTTGGTACAAGTATCTGATTAACATATGGACAAAATAAACTACATTGCCATGCCACTATTTTATTTAGATTTGATTTATTTTTACTGTAACTGGCTTTGCTGAGGTAGTTGATGATGATGTTTCTTGTCTTTAGTTTTCTGTTGGACCTGCAAAATGTGAAGCAGAGTGTGTTTGACCAGGAGGAGGAGATATGGCTGCGTTAGCCTGCGATCACACTGTTGTTGATATCACTCTGGAGAAATAAAGCGCTTATTAAAATGATTTTCTTTCCAGTAATGTTTATGGTTCTACATGTTTATTGTCTGTCAATATTAGTTCTAAAATTAGGAGAAGAATAAAAAAACTAAATCAGGATTGATGCTCTTGTCTTCACTTCTAAACAAATACGAATCATTCTACCTTTTCAACAAGTACATGTGAATATACAGGCTATATTAATGTCAACTTTCAACTTCAACTTTATTATCCCCTGAGGGAAATTTGTTCTTCAGGCAGGTAAAACACACAAAAACATAGAAAACACAATCACAGTCAATCACATCCAGACACCACACATTGAATATGACTTCTATTGTGTTGTGGTTTGTAACAATAACACACAACTGATTGTGTGACTGCGTTAAACATTTTGATTATTATATTTTGCAACTTTTGAATGGATTTTGTACTGATTCTGGAAAAGGTATTAAACTGTCTTTCTTGACATCTTCAAAAAGTCTGAACCTTAAATTTAAATTTCTACACATGGCAATGTGCTGTTAAAGTGCCCCTAACAGATGATTCACTGATCAGTGTTTGGTTCCCACTGTTGTCTACTTACCCTAACTATTACTGGTACTAAAATTTAAATATTTGTTTTTCATTTTCTTCCTGTTTTATTACATTTTCACACAGAACAAGATTCACTAAAAACATTGACAGTCCTAGTTAGGTTAACATTTAAAGAGACAAAGTTTGATCATCTTGGATTAACACTGACAGACTCACATGTACTCTACAGGAAACAATACATTGGAACCTTTTAGTAACAGACTTTGACAGATTTATTAGCAGATATTTACATGCATGTGCTAAAAACTCTTCTTCTTCTGGGAAAACAGGATGACGCAGAGACTTCGTTAAGGATGTTACAAGTGTGGAAAAGAATCTTCAACTGACCCAGAAAACCCTGAATAAACGTTAATGTTTAACGTTTGCGTGCCACAAAAGTTAAAGTAGTTATTCTGTGTTTATCTATATTGAAACTTTCATTTCTGTGTACTTTTAAAAATGTTTAGTTATGTGTATGGTAGCTGTAATTTTGTAGTTCGCTGTAGGGTCTTGGAAACGGGGCCCTCTTTAATTGCATAAAATGAACGTTGGCTTTTCTTTTTTTTTTAAAAAGTAAATGATTTTAAACCCATGTTTCAGAAGTCTGCTACCGAACATAAGACACTTCTTCCAGTTTGCATTTCAAAGACCCCAACAGACGTTAAATGAAAGGTTTATCTGCGCTGAACCTGTGAGTGGGGTTGGTAGCAGTTTTATTTTTAAGAGTACTACGTCTCCTAAATCCACAAAATGAGGTTGTTTGAATTGGCTAGGGTTAGAGTTAAGGCTGCGTTTAGGTTAAGGTTCAGTAGAACAAGGAGCAAGGAGCTGCTGCAGTTCCGGTGACACAACCACAGGCGTTACTGAAATGAACTGCTGGAAGACCCACAACACATATACAGATGTACAGGGAAAAAGTTAATCTGAGTGGATTCTCAAAGCAACAATTTTACTGAATTGCTATTATCACCAACTGAATTGGTGTCGTTGTCAGCTGAGCGCTCAGCTGTGTGTCCACAGCTTGTTACTTCTAGGCTGAAATAAAAGGGAAAATCAGCAGACACAAACGTGACCTGATGACTCAGAAGTAAATAATAAGCTGCCCTTAACCTTTGTACAGTGATTGCATGGACTAGTTTTGTTTTCAACTGAATGCAGCGGCATGGATTATCAACAGAGTGGACGTATGTCCCAAAGGGAAGAAAACTAGAATCAGTATTGATCAGTGCTGTCAGGCAATAATGAGTTCATTTACTGATGTATGTTATATTTGATGTATTCACAAACAGAAGTACATATTAAAGTGTCTTTAAATGGGGACATGTTCACTTATTGACATATGAGGTGTATTCAGTTAGTGATGTGACTGCTCAGGAGAAAGAAACAGGGTAATCCACCCCTAATCATTCACGTATGTGTTTGTTTTAAGTGCAGCATTGCTAGAAGTGTGCCACTTCCTGAAAAACAACCTTGTGAAAGAGGAAATAAATGTTGCAGTGCTCTAGATGACAGAGGAAAAAAAGAACAACGTGCAAAGAAAAATAGGTCATATGCTTAAAACTAATTATGATTATAATTCCCATGAGTTAGTAATGGTAATTAATCAGTTAATTAATCATTCACATGCCTAGTATCCACTGCTTAACAAGTATGTGCCCATATGGTAAATGCCCTAACTGCTCAGCCAGCATGCTGCCCAATACTGTATCTTTTTGAGACTGACATAGCTTAAATTAAATTAATTAAATCCCTGCCTCAATTAATATTGCTTACTGGAATTTAGTTTGAGAGAACCAGTCTTCTCGCTGGCTAACATCTAGATTAGACGGGATGAGCACTGATGGAGATCAGTTTATTACCTAGACTTTGTCCCATTCATTATCTTTTAAACTTGTGATCTAAGATATGAATAAAGAATGCATCTGTGTTTGACTACGCTTAGATTTACAGATGGGTGACACAT